TGACTGGCCTTGTGAAGGGACTTATGACTGGCCTTGTGAAGGGACTTATGACTGGCCTTGTGAAGGGACTTATGACTGGCCTTGTGAAGGGACTTGTGACTGGCCTTGTGAAGGGACTTGTGACTGACCTTGTGAAGGGACTTGTGACTGGCCTTGTGAAGGGACTTATGACTGGCCTTGTGAAGGGATTTATGTTGTCAAGGCCTCTATTTTAATTGCGTTATAAGTTAACGCATTCCTCATTATTCCTAAGCATTATCATTTTTTTTTGAAGACTTCTTATCACATTCCATTTTATATCCCGAAAGGGAAAGATATTGATTTGGATTTTTGAAGGTGTCAATGTTTCATAACTTTTGTGAAATCTTTGTGAAAGTTTCTGTTGAGAAGTACTTGGTTCTTCAATATCAACCACGCAATAGAGGAAGAAATGGAAGGTTTGGCGGCTACTAGGCCTGGGCTAAGAGTTGTTGTGGAACTAGGGTGAAATTTCTGTTTGGCCTAGCGGGATGGTTGACCTATTGGATTGGTTTTATACACCGGTCAGGCTTCTCAGTGTTCGGTGTCATTTCAGGGTTTCAAGCAGGGTGTTGGGGGTAATTAAAAATACACTACAGCATTTAACTGATCTTCTTGGTTCTTGCATACAGTCCCTACAGGAGCAGAGCACTAGGAATGCATGAGTAAGTTGCCGTCATTCATAACACCTTTTACAATCAAGTCCTTGTAAGTCCACCACAAGTCCATCACAAGTCATTCAGTCTTAAGCCAATCCTCAAGCTATTCAACTGAACTGTGACATAGATATTCTTTCGTCATTGTGCATCCTTGAACAGTACTAATAAGACAGGTCTTATGAAGTGACTTGTGATGGACTTGTGAAGGACTTGAGAAAGGTCTTGTGATGGACTCGACTCCAACACTGCTCACAATCATGTGACAGAGGAGAATATTTATTTTGATTTGATCTAAACAAACTACTGGGGTAACATTGTACACAGATTCATATTAAATGCAGGTAGAGGGTATAATGTGATGTGATCTGTGAAAACCCTGCACATGGTGAGCTTTGTCATATAAACTTCCAATTAATATGGACACGCTCTTGTTTTCAGATCTATTCCATTTATGATTCTATATTGTCTACAACATGAATCTAGGTTGCCTAGAATCACTAATTAAACAGTTTTGAAAACAGGACAGCGTCCAGATCAATTTGAAGTTGATATGCATCAAAAATGGCAGAGCTCACGTCCATTTGAAGGGTTTTACAGATCACATCACATGTGTTCCCCCCTTCCCCATTTGACCGGATGGATGGGTTATTGGATCATCCTCCTACGGCTTTTTCATGATGAGAAAAAAAAACAGCAGTTTTCCGGTGTTTTTCAAACTCACCAACGGCCACAATGTATTCAGTACTACTAAGGAAAAAAGTGACAAAAAACTTACATATGCCATTTTTAAACAAACCTCTGCTCATCCCTCTCAAAGTTAGCATGTCATGTACGCAGTCGTTTGTATTTCTGAGTTACAAACATCTCCCATGTTCAGTCAGGTGGGCAGCGTTCATTTACCCCACACTTCTCTTGACCGTCTCAACGCAGCTACGTCAAGACTCCAGGATTACGGTCTGCTACCAGCACCCCGACACTTCAAGCGCCCAGGACTGCCGGAGGGAGAGAGGCCTTGAATCTGAGCAGCTACAGCAAGTGCAGCACGTCCATCTGGGTGAGTTCCGACCTTCGGAGGTTTACATCCTAAGCAGTCGTCTTATGTGAGTGTATTCTTAGGCCAAATAGAATTGGAGTGAAACCAAGTACATGGGCTTGTGTCCCATACGGTTGAGTTCCCATGGAGGGGGCTGGATTGTCAGGCACAGTAGACACATTGCCTAGAGCCAGTGAAAGATTTGAAGGACGACAGAAGTACAGTCATTTGCAAAAATTTAGGACCACACATAGAAAATGCATGAACCTGCAGGAAAACCAAACTTAAACCAACCACTCATAGCAACTAGTGTTTATTACCAATGTGTAACCTTGGTACCTAGGTTGAACATTTTCGACTACATTTCCATGATTTGACATGTTAACAGTCTGATATTCAGTGTGCCCCCCCTTATTTCTGATTACTTAGACTGGCTTTTTTTTACCCATGCTGCCTTGCAGAGAAAATGTCATACAAGACCTGCCTTCACAAAAAATTTCATTCAAATGGGTATATAGTACTACACTGATGTTATGCACCACTGTGAAATCATGCTAAGTAATCATTCAGTGAGACAGTGTAATGCAGGCCCAGTGACAGAAATACCAATAAAATTCAAGGTGGCCTTAAACTGTATATACCACAGCACGCCATAAAACTTTTCACCTGTACCTGTACACCCTTGCCAATAATCATGTACACAAAAGAGTTTTAAGATTCAAGAGTCCCTCTTTGATTTTGTTATTTTTAGAGAGCTTTATGTATAATTATTTTCTGCAACTGAATGCATCAACATGAAATGTGAGACTCCCCTGCATGCCAGAGCCATGGAATTGGTGCCGAAGCCCTAGGCCAGGTGGGGCCTAGGAAGAAATGATCCATGTAAAATGAATAAAGGAAATTGGTTTTGTCACTAAATGATTAATGAACAGATGCAATCCGATTTCATCTTCTTTGATAACAAAACTGAAATAGAAATATTGTCTGCTGTTTGTTGCTTTGTTTAAAAACATTCTCCAAGTGACATCAATACGAAAAAGCCTTTACGTTATGCCAAAAATGAACTTGTAGAGCCTGAAACTTCCTATGTGTGCGTTAAGTCCATTTTGGAATTCACCACACTGGTAGCCACAGCTGATTGTAGCAAGTCGACCTGTGACTTGTTTACAGCTTGTCAACCTGCCCATGAAGCCTTGCCTACTTTGGTGGCAGATCCAATGGACCATTAAGGGCCTTGGCCTCCCTATGAAAAAGGAGCGAGATTTTTTTTTTCCATAAAAAATAAAGAGAGGGAGGCAATTCTCTGGGACTGCTTCATTTCCTTTCCTTCCATTTCAAAAGTCTGTGAAAGGCTGTCAACTCTTGCCTGACCCGTAGAAAGCTCATGGAAGGTTACACAAAGAAATTTCCAAATTGTTTGGCCCCCCTGGGCCAGGAACATTCGACAATAGCAGTGATATGACAGTACCAACAGACACCCAATGCACTTTTACCGTGTTGTCCCTGCTGACTGGGCCCAGAAATATTCCTATTAAACCATCTCAACCCCCTGGGGAGTGTTCAATCATCCGTGCAAGCATTTCAGGCACTGCTGGGTTTAATCAGCCGCAGATAACCTGCACTGCCCTCACGGGTACCCCCTTTTATACTCCTGGGTGGAGAGAGGAAAGACCACATGCCACACGTAAATCCCCCCCCCCCCAGCAAATTAGGTTCTGCCCTTGGACCACTTTGCACACAGGTAACAAGGCACGGAGCTCTTCGTTTCCACCCAGCATAATCTTTGAACTCATGCATGTCGGATTTTTATGTGTTTTTTTTTACTTTTTGAGTAAGCAGTTTATGGCTGTGACTTGTCGGATTGACACTGGGCTCCTCACTATGTTGCCACTCTGCTTGTGTTTCATGTACAGGCAGCCGCCTCGGTCTTGCGGCAAGAGACAGACAAATGGGAGGACGACTCCAACTCGGTCGTCAAGGTAGCCAAGACCATGTCAGCCCAGATGTACGACATGGCGAGATACGCACGCAAGATCAACAACCCAGCGGTCAGTGGTCTAGTTATTATTATCCTTTATAATGACACCAAGGATTGGTCCAAAGTGCCTGGGCACTGTAGCTCACAAGCCTGAAGAAACCTGTTGAGAGGGGACAGTGAGAAGCAGTTACAGTTTTAGAGGTGGGAGGAAAACCCCAGAGGAATATTCTGGGTAAAACCCACAGAATCAGGTTTGGACTGAAAACCCAATACACACGCGGACCGGGCCGGGATTCGAACCCAGACCGCAGAGGTGGAAGGCGAGGAAAGAACCACTACGCTAACCTGACTCCCCTGTTGAGTTGAGGATAAAGAGAGGGTGGTGGGGAAAAGTGATGGTGAGATTGGCAAATCATGAATACGAACACCTTCTCACAGGGGAGGGGGGAGGGAACAGCAAACAGCCCCCCAAAAATCAGTAAAACGAGGGAAAATGTTCCAGCATCGGGGATTTTTGGTGAAATCCATTCACAGACATGACGTCATCGTCATGATTAGAAAATCCGAACTCATATATATACACATCATCCTGTCTGAAGTGGTTCATGAGATTTAACCATAGTAGCAAAAATAACCAAATACTGTACAGGGGCAGTACTTTCCAAAGTAGGAGATGACCAACTTGTGAAAACCATGTCCCATGGATTCAAATCAATGCAGGGACCACACGGCTTTAGGCGTGGTACTGATAGTCAACCCTCAAAGAAAATAACACTGGATTTCACATGCTCATTGAAAGTCTAAAGTTCAAGGGTGGGGGGCGGGGGACGGTCGACTGGCATGTTGGGTGTGCCACTGTTTACATCTGGCCTATTTCACAAGTTGGCTACCACAGTAAAATAAACAGTCGTGCATGAGAGTAAACATTTGATATGATTCAACTGGCACGTTGAAAAAAAAAGTGGCTTGGGGTTTTACAAGATTTCCTCGCAGCAGATATGTTCTGAATGTACATCCTGTGTGTGTGTGGGGAGCGGTGGGGAGGGTTCTCAGGCGATGTTTACATGCTGTTCATTGTTTGCTTTTTGGTGAGCGCTTCTTCAATATTGACATCGTCGCAATGTTTCAGGCCAAAGAGGAGATGATCAACACAGCCAAGGCGATCGCGGCCAACGGGAAAGTAATCTTCAGGTTTGCCCAGATACTGGCTGAACACTGCTTGGACGAGAGGTGAGTCAGTGTGGCGGGCAAAATGTTTTGTGTATTGATCTTTTTGAGAGGACTTATGCGACATTTAGGTGGAGTTGCTTTCGTTGTCAGTCAAAAGGTTTCCTTTTGTTATAGAAAGCCAACGAGCAGCAAGTTTTTTTATCTGCTGGGATTAACAGTAAATGGGACTCAACATAAACCACAAAGCCACGAAAAACCATGAAATTTGGCAAGGAATACATTCAATTAAATTTGACAAAAACACTACATGTACTTTTTCTGTTCTGGCTAAGCATACTTCCAGACAAACTAAGCTTTTAATTTGGCTTTGGCTTGGATATCTCAACTGTATATGGACTATATAGTTTCTGTGTACTGTAAGCAAGTTTCTTCATGCGCAGGAGTGCTTTACACCCAATCAGCCACCTAGTGCATCATAAAAAATAAAGAACTGCATAGGGGAGTAACCTGAGATTTGATGCACAGCATAACGAACCGGGGTCGGGGGTCATTCACCTCTACACCCCAAGTTTCCTGTATTAGATTAATATCCAAGTCTGATCGAGGGGGAGTGGTGTGAGAATGTCCACTTCCTAGACCCACTCTAGAAAACCAGGGGTTGATGCTGTGTGCAAAGCGGAGGAGATGGCGCCCCTCCCTCCAAATGTGCGCACCGATAAGAAGCAACCTCGGTTTCCTATTGGCTGAACCAGTTGGAGTGACCACACAACGTGTTCACAGTACATGTAATGTGTGACGCATTTGTCACCCAGAGTTCTTTTACATCTGTGCTCAGATGGTGCACTGATTGGGAGCCGATCAGGCCATTTACCGTACTGCCGGTACATTGTTTTTTACTCAGGGTTGGAGGTGATCTGCTGCTCTGCGCTGGGAACATTCCTTCCCTCTGCACCCAGCTGAGCATCATCGCCAGCGTCAAGACGGCTACACCCGACGACGACACGGCGGACATCGTCCTGATGAAGAACGCCGACAACCTGATGCAAGCCGTGCTGAGTTCTCTCAAGGCCGCAGAGGCAGCGTGCGTCAAAGTACGTGGCCAACCTGTCACTGTTGAACTGTTGAGAGCTTAGTGTTTGGTCCAATGTAAACCATACTTGATGCACATGTAAATCAGGTTCAATTCTGATATGGCTTGCCCCACATTTGGTGTGTTTGGCCAACATCAGGATGCTTTGATTCTTGGAGTGAAATGAAAAAGGGAGGTTCACAGTGCCACTAAATTATTGTTAAGAGGGCTCAAGCCTACAGGAAAGTGCTCTGCTACAAGGTGATCATTCACATGCCCTGTTTATGTTTTCACAACGTCATCTTGCAGCTCTTCCTTCCTGTGTCAACAGGGGAACTGTGATCGTTGTTTAGCTTTCTCTTGATTCTAGTGGTGACGGTGTTTTATTCCAAATGAAAGAGATACGTGTACGATGACTTGTAACCATTGCTTTGGTCGTCAGAAATTGCTAGATTTCTGCACTTGTGGCCAGATTTTGACATGGAGGTCACAGTTGAATCGTGTTGCCAAGCGTGGCATGGGTCTAATTCTTTACCCTCATGGTTTTTGGCCTTAGAATAATATATATAAAATATTGAGTGGCATTGTAACACAATTTACGTACCTTAACGTACGTTACGTAAATGTCTGAAAATGTTATGTCTGCCGGTGCTGTAAACTTCAAACTCATGCAAAAACAGCAGCTGCAAAGTTTAGCTGTTGTGAACGGTTTTGAAAAAGTGCTTTCAATGTTGGCCAACACTGCAGGGCCTGAGACCAGTCCTGGAAGGCAGTAAGGATGAAGAGGAGGCGAGAGCCCTGGCCACACAGTGGAGGCTACGACTTGACCACCACAGGCAGATGGAGGCGTCCGGAGAGGGGGTGGATGCCCTGGGGCTCAGGAGGCTGGCCCGGAACGTCTCGGCACCCGCCCTGAGCCAGATCCTTGCCCAGCGTTGAGGCAAAGCCAGTCGGATCATATTCCGGACATGGCCTGCAGGGCTGAGTCAGATCAAGTATTTGATCACTCAAGTTTCAACCTGAAATTCAGTGGAACGGTTTGTTAGGCAGCAAATTTTCGCTAAGCCAAGCCTCTAGAGAAACGATTCATGAAATTATGCATTATAACCATCGGACGCAGCCCTAATAGTTTCTATTTGGATGAAGTTTTAAGGAAGGAATTTGGTTACGAAGAAACTGACTTTTTTGCTTTGTATTTCATTTTATTGCACCTACGAAGATTCTAAGTGAAAAAAAGATATTAGAATATTTGATAATTGATCATATATTCGAATGTATTTGAATATTTGTGTATTTGACACAGGTTGTATGGCCTCCATTGTTCTGTTTGACACAATCAGTGAATGTGCACAGTTGTTGTGCACTCGCCCAACAGTCAATCCTGGAGAAAATCTCCCAAGTTCAGTTCCCATTTCCAAAGCAAACCCCGGCACTTTGTGTTTAATGGGAATGCTGACTGGCCTCAGGAATACTAGTGAGGTAGATTGCTTGATGTCAGGAACTGGTTCTAGATTAGGGGACTGGGTACTTATATTATACATTGCAAATGGCTGGGAAACCTCCCTCGTTTTGATTTCTCTGTGAATTTTTGAATGGGTTGCGGCATGGCTACCTGAGCCTCCGTGTTTTACATCAGTAGTTACCTGGAGATGCAGCCTCTGCCATGGAATGTGCATGATCCCAAAGTACGCAAATCTGAAAATTCTTAATTAGGCTTAAAGGCTTGGAGGGGGCATACATGGAGGAAACAAAATTGTCCCAATGTGGTGATGCAAATTCCAAGCCGAGCTGGAGTAATGTTAGTCAGTCTATGGATACATGTTTTGGATCCAAATAAGCACTAACTTCGTGGAACGTTTTAAAAGGTCTGTGCGATGCATTCTTTGGTTTAAAGAGTACGCCTAAGGAAAACAGGTTTTCTCTAATTTCATCTGTTCAAATAAATATGGAAGCATCCAAGTCGAAAGTAGTGTCATTTGTCTTCAGGGCTCAACTTTATAACAGGCTAAAAAGGGCGTTTGTTCTGTTTATGCCAAAATGCGAATTCTGAATGTAGATTACGTCATTCAGAGAAAACAGAAGAAAACGAGGGGAACCCTCGCCCAGTGTTCAAAGTGGATATTATCAACCCTTGTGTATGTCAAGCAATGCATGTAGCCATTATTTGACAAGCACAGGGGTTTATCCAAATGACACTGCATTCGATTTGGATGCTTCCATACTTATTTGAACAGATAAAATCAGAGAAAACAAGCTTTCTGACAGGTGTTCTTTAAATCTTTAAAAACCGTTGAAAATGCACCTTTGTGTCTCAAGTAACCTGTTGTTTGCTGTTTTCAAGGGTGGTTTGGTGCCTTTGGGGGTTTTATGCTAATGGGATTCCATATTGAGGAGTAAACTGTGGGGCAGTGTGAGGTTGTACAAAAAGCACATTATAAGAATAATTCATGAACAGAGCCCTTTGAGTTCTGAATATGTGCTGAACTTTAAATGGGTACACTATTTTTGAGTAGAAAAAAGTACAAACCTTTTGTTGTGCTTTCATTTTGTACAGTTGACATCTCGAATCAGAATTTATATTTCTAACTGTATTTATCTCTTGGGAGCAAATGTTTATATTGTCGCAACACATTTTTGTCTATAAATGCACTCCCACATTTCGTTTCCAGAATCTAGGTAATAAACTCATGGAAATGAAATGTACTATTTTCACTATGCTGAGGGCATACATACACTGAGAGATGATATCCTTAGTTGAAAAGAAATTAAAAAACAGTAGTGGTGACCATTTAAGGCCTAAAGGAAGGGTATGTATAATGTGATGGTTGTACACGTAAACTGGCACGTCATAATTAGTCATTTGAATGTATTGGACATACATTTGAACGTGAACGCAAAAATGAAGGGATTCTAGACTAGTCTACTTTTCTGTAACTTTTTATTTTTTACTGCTGACCTATTGCAAATTTACAGGCACAACCTTCAAGGCACACAAAGATGATTCAAAGAATATTTATCAACAACATTTTACCTATGCCCAAACAAAATATGTAATACTTCTTTCGGCTTGTCAAAGACAAGGTGTTAAAGTCGTAAAAAAAAATCTTGCATTTCAGACGCGTAGATTTAAGAGCCAGAGACACACAGCTGTGCGTGTATAATGCAGTGCAAGCTCTGTGGTTGAGGTCAATTATCGGGTATTGCCGAGCATTGCAGCTGGCTAACATTCTATAGTCGTAACCAGCGACTGGGCTGTAGCAGCGCATGAAGGGATGCGTGCGTGACAACGGTTGTCAAGGCAACGTTACGCTGCGACTAATTATATCTTAACGATTTTTGAACTCCCAGCGCTGTACAAGGTCGGGTCAATTTTGCGAGCCTTTTCTTACGTACTGATGCATAATGATGTTGTAGGTTTTTTGGTGTTAAAGAAAACTTCTCTGGCTGGGTAAGTATAAAACTCATGGCTGTCCATGATACTGACGTATTCATTTCAAATTATGATACGCCGTATTCGTAAGAGTCGCACTGGACAAAAAACGGGCGTAACAGCCTACTTCATTTAAACGGTAATTCACATGAGCGCCTGGAATGTTGGCAGTAACACAAAGGTCGAAGGATACGAAACTGCAGCTCACATCACGAAAAGGAATATCGAAACCAAATTTCAAGCCTTTTAAAATCGCTTTTCAGTTTGTGATGTTCCGAACCTATAAGTCAAGATTTGTTATTGGGTATGTCACTACTTAAAATGACTATCCCGAAAGAATTTGAGTCTGATGTCCCCTAAATACTTGCTGAATTATCTAATTTTCCTAGACTAAACTGAATCAGTGTTGTCTCCTAGTTTACAACATACTGAATAGAAAACTGTCTCTGTTGAGAGGTCGTGTCACACATATGCGATGAATAATCAAACACAAAGTTTTCCATGAAAGAAAGTTGTATTTTGAGGCTAATGGTGGCTAAAATGAAGGACACATGCCTCATCTATTCCCACACACAAGTAAAGACAAATTCTTCAAACCAACCCACACTTCTCATCTCAACTAATCACTCTATCCCTCTAATCTCTCAAAACATTTGCAGACTACAAGGTCACTTACTATAACTCTGAAAATTGTAAGGATTGTGTACATCAAACAACAAATATACATCAGAACAATAAATATGAAATTAATATACGTTGCACTTTTTCCCAACATGGACGGATAATGTGGGATTAACATCACTGATGTTAAGCTTCTTTTTGCATTTGAAAATAAGACCTTTTTATCACCTGCCGACTTGACAAGCTGGACTGCCTCTTCTCATTCCTTTACCCAATCAAATCGGTATGAGAATCGCCATTTTGTTGTGGTGGTTATAATCAACTTTTGAGTTGAACCAAGACTAGGGGCCTACATCTGACCGGGTTTCATTTCAGACCGGGGCGGCTGCACAGACGAATCCAGTAACCATGGTAACGATATCACCAGCCATTAGCCCCCTCCCCACCTCCGCCAATGGCGGCAGGCAGTGTGCTAACTTGAGAACGGAGCCGCTGTTCCGTGACAGTCGTCTCGCACAAACGCCCAAAAGCAATGCACCATTGAAGGGCGCCATCGGGCATGTCCGGTGACAACGTTGCTGGATGGATTCGTCTAAAATAGCATACACCTTGACTCACATGTGAGCCATTTCAAACCTCGGCTTTGTTTCCGTGAGGCTTTGTATATGGGCTGCAGAAAAGAATGAGAATCCTTTTTTTTCTTTCATTTTTTTTAAATGTTAGGGATCAAATGAAAATTTTTCACTCGGCTTCACATGAGTAGTGAGCCTGAGGGTTCAGACACATAACTTTAATAGTCCGGAGTCTCCATAGTGGGGGAAGAAACCTCCCTTTGGAAAACCTCAAATTTCAAGAACAAAATATGGCCTTCACCCCTCCAAGTTGGTCCCTTTCAGACAATGTGACTCGCAAAATAATTTCAGAGACCCGATGGAGATTCACATCAGGATAATAATGAGAACTAATCTACAGCTATTTCAGCCCAGAAAGCTATTTTTTACATTTATCATTTACACAAAATACCGAAATATCAATAACGTGAACCATTTGCACAAGGAAACCTGAAAATCAGTACAAAATTGTTTACAGATAAAACTTGATGATATAATTTATAAGTACATACAGTTTGCTCACATTTAAATATTTAAAATCACACTTTATGTTACAAGTCGCAATCATTTTATTGTTATTTTTTATTGGGTTTTGGGGCCCCCATATTTCTACGATATTGCAATTTGTCCGTGCGATAACTGAAATGAGGAAGCCTCAGAGCTGAAAGTAGTTAGGCAAGTCCTTTCGACAACGGTCTAACAGACTCACTGTATGTACTTCTTTTTACTCTTGTACGGAGTGGAATTTTTAAAAACCGCGTTCTTGAACAAAAACCAGTAGAGACTCGTTCATTTTAATATGATAAAAAGGTATATTCGTGGAATCACTTGGTACCAAAAGTGTGCCTAAGACAGACAAATTGAAGATTTTGAATGCACACTGATCCTATGCACTGACGTCACATCACTCATTATCCTTCGCAGCCTGCCATCTGAAATGTCAGATGAACGATTTGAACAATGGCTTTCGTGGTGTGTTCATCCTTAGCTATACGCTTTGGACGTAGCCGTTAGCTATGCTGAGTCGGGCCATGTTCACAAGCAGCTCCAGCTGGTGGTCGCATTTGGCTTTTTTTTCAGTTATGACGTCGGAAACATTTTTTTATGCGCTCCTGAACGGAATCGTCCTCTTAAAACTTGAAGTTTCTTTTTAAAATCGTCTTGAATAAAGAATTGGAAAGAAATTGGAATTTCTTTCACAGACAAGAATAATTAATAATCACATTCAAGAATGACACAGAAGAGAAGAAACTTCTTTTTTGCGACAAAAACAAACGCCAAAATGGAACGAACGCGATTTGAGCCAAATTAACAATGCCCCAGTGACCTAAACCACCCATCACGTCAGATAAGAAAAGTAAAACCTCGTGATGTTATACCCGAAATCACGCAAAACATCAAACTCAATCACGTGACATCGTGAGTGCTATTGCTGGACAACATAATGCACTTGTCTTGTACACGTAAATGGACCCATTGTGGCATTAACGATGGCTTCGGATCATGGGAAATGTGTGACGTCAATGCAAATGATCTTCAGGCTTTCCACCACGTTCTAGAGGTCGTGCACTACCTGATTCTAACAACACAACCCCCTAAGCACCATTTACTACTTAAAGGTTCCACGGAATTTGGGCTTAGAGTTGCCGCATGAAGTTGTTCCGGCAAAAATAATAATGTACGTATAATATACTCATGCATAGACATGCTGAGAAAACAACTGTGCCAAAATTGCGCTCCTCGTCACATTGCTAAGGTAGTTTTCAAAAAAAAAATTGCTTTTGGTTAAAGTTGGCTCACGGTTGAAAGCACGACATACTAGTAGCAAACTTGCCAGAAATTCTACGACGTGAATGTGGGGTATCCCCTTTCGTATCGTGTGGACGGATTTCTAAAGATTTTCTTTGAGGCTGACTACAGTTCTCCGTCTGGATCGGCCCATCACGAGAACAGGTCTCGCCAGGAATCCATTACGTGAACTGGAGTACACTCCGGCGTACCGAGACACGACTAAATCAAACAATTGCACTCCACCATTGAGTTACCGTACGCTTCTTTAACGTTTTTGAAAAGCTTGTTCAGGAAATGAACTTACTCTACACCACACGCAAAGGTTCAACGAACAGTGGCGCATGAAGGCCTTTGACATATATGGCGGGTTTCTTAAACTCTGTACACCCCACCTCTGCCACCATCACCACTCCCTTTGAAAAGGCGAGTATTCAAACAGCCGTCAACCTTGGTATTTGCTTTCATTTTACAACAATAGACACTGTTCACAAAGAAACATCCCTATTATATAGCCAAACACTTAATCAAACGTCCGTCATAGAAAACCCAGTGTCAGACAAGACTGAGGTTAAAAAGTGGCCCTTGGGTACACACCACCGCTGTACGGTTATGTACGACTCAATTTTCCTCGCTGGCGTAAACATGGGGAAAAAAAGAACTTCATCTGCCTGTGTTAATCTAAATGTGACAAAACAACAGTCAAGGGCCATTTTCAAATCTCATTAAAAACAAAACACGTGCACGTATTTACTGTTGGAGGTGAGGCGTAAGTCAACGGGGTTCCTCTAGCGCAATCCCGTTTAATACAACGCCCAGGAGTAGTCGTAACTATTAAATGGCAAGTGGTTTTAAGCTGCTTTTTCTGAAAGGAAAACAGCTTCCAGAGATCCAATAATTTGGAAGGATGTAGGCTTCCATAGTTAAGGACCATGGGACATTGTCAAAGCTCTGTGAAATTGTTCTTGATTTAAGGTACCGACAGCAGCTGTGTGTCATAGAAGGAACAAGCGGCAAGGTGGGATAAGTAGAGCTTGATGCTCACAGTAGTGAAGCAGTGGGCGCGTACATTTGTGCAGGAAAATAGGGGCGGTGCAGATGGGGGAGTGACTTGCTAGCCATAAAAATTTGAAAAGTGGGGTGGAGATGGCTTGTGAAGAATTTTGGGACTTTCCAACGACTAAAATGCATTCAGTATCACTCAAAAAGGGGACTAAATCTTCAAAACCCATAAATTATGCCGCTCTGATGTAACATTCTGCAAAAATTTGATACATATTACAGATGTACATGTACATCAATATTACGAACATCGACCTCTTTGTATAGATTCATATTATGACTCTATATAGAGGTCGGTGTTCGTTAACCGTTTCTGCCAAGCAACGCAATTTAAATAAGAGGTAGCCACGATGAGGCTCGGTATGACCCGCTTACAAAAAGTAAATATTTCGTTTTGTTTTTAGCTATTGGCGCTCACAGGACGTGATCCTCGCGGCTCGAGCAGTTTATTCGCCGGAACATACAGAACTTATTCGGCTTAGGAAACCCAGCAAACTTTACAAACAAGAAAAAAAAATAAGCTAACGATGCGCGGAAGAGTGTCAAGTGGGGTCCCGACAAAACGGGGACTCCAAAAGCAAATACGTGTACACCGAACGAGACACACCTATCACCCCGATTAATTCAGCCAGTTCAATGTCACTTGTGTCCACACAACACCAGCTGGTTCACGGCCACCCCAAACAAGAACCTTGCCAAGCTCTGCTGATATCATTCGCCTCGTTTCCAGGTAACACGAACAGTGGCGCGGAATTCCTGACCTGTACAAAGAAAATACACAAGAGAATAAAATATCAAAGGTCCCGACTGCAAATTTCGGTGGTTTATCTTGTGAAGGCGGACATTTTATTCAATTTATAACCAATAATAAATAAAACAACGTCGGTTTATAATACAAAGACAAAAGCGAGGCAATACTCTTTGGATGGCCTGCGCGCTCACGGTTGCTATAGCGCGACAGACAATAACTACGACGCAAGCAAAAGGTGAGTGCCTTGTCAGACGAGCAGAGGTCACGTGAAGCACGACATTTCCGGCTATTTCTAAAATGATTTTTTTTATTCTAAGAAAGAAACATTCGTAGGGCATGTAGTGACGGTTATTTAACCTCACGCGGGCTTCCTGGAGAAAGAGGGAAACGAATATGTTACCGTGTGGCTGAACATTGCTTGCCCGATATCACCGAATCTGTAGCATACTATGGGTTGATTTTTTCCCAACGAGCAGTACATGCATCGGCCGTGACACACATTATGTCCATCACCCTTAAGGGTTAATGCTATGTTTTGTTTTGATAATGTAGCTCTTGTAACTGCTCTTTTGTGTCTCATCAACACAAGTTACATTTTCAAGTTTTTGTGCCATTTAAGGGCGTTTTGGTGTTTGAGCCAATGCAACGGGCCAAAGTGCCCTTTTTTAGTTAGAGTGGCCAAACAGTTGTCAGAAGGATTCTGATATTTACGAGGTATAGAAAATTGAACAAAAAAAATGTTCTCCAGTAAAATTTACTTCATGGGTTCTTTAACCTTGTACTACAACAGCAATTTCAGGAAAAAGCGACGAGCTGCCTAAGGGAAGGGTAGATGCAGACGAGCCGAGTCTACTCACAACAAACTAATGTATGAATTCCATTCCATGATTGATTGCGGTACACGCAAATTATGACTACGAAGCAGATAAGTGCGTGCGGATCTTGCAGCTCGAACTTTGACTTTGCACAGCACGGACTCAAATTTATGGATTTCGAGCGCCCTAGGAGCAATTCCATGCGTTCTACGACTTAAATTTCTGCCAACACCGCACAGGTGAAGATACCAATATCCATTACAGATATAATGTATATTTCTTTTACCTAAGATTATCACTGCTGCTCCAAGATGAACAGCAACGGAATGAAGAATTGTCTCACATTCTGTCCGTTTTTTACATTTTTGTCAAAAACATACTTCTGCAATATGCCATGCACTGATAGATACCGTAGAGCCTGAAAGTAAAAGGTCACTCAGTGGGCTTCCGGAACCCTCGCGCTGTCCACCTATCACGTTTGATAATTTTTAAAGGAATGATTCCTAAATGAAACCACCCCAAGAAACACTCATGTCGGAATTTTCCCTTTGTCTTCGTCAAGTAATATTTAGGAAAAGTCACCTGGAGATGGGTAAAAAACGAATTTCATTGACGACCTTTCACTTCCGGCAGTATCGTTCCTAGGTCTCCTTGTTCATGCACGTTTGTTTTCACTGCCCGTGCTTACGTGGAAACGAGATAGTACAACGTTGCAAAGATTTACCTATCTATAGTCGATGGACTCTAGATTCAGTCGAGTCGACCTGACGCAGTTCTTGTCAGCAAAGGTCATGTTATACATTAGAATCTTTCGTGAAAGCAGGTTATTGCTTTCAATTTATTTCGTCATAAATTAAAAAATCCTTAAGATATTTTGGTCTGTTTTTATTTTGGCTTTACCGACAGACTTACCATGACGTATAATTCCGTAACTGCTCATCTACGTACGAGACCACCAAATTGCACTCTTCTTCATGTATTTTAAATTTTTGGAAGTGAAAAGTCAGTTTTTGGCAGGATATTTCTCTTTAAGGTCAGGTGAATTTTCAGTTCCCATAAATTGAAATGCTAGCAAATACTCCACAAAAGGCCTTGTTACGAGTAGACATTTTAAGAAGAAACTGAACGAAGAAAAATGTAGAAATTCTAAAATATTTGCACGTTATTTTTCCTATCCAAAGGTTCCGGAAGCGCGCCATCAGGGGTCAATTTTCAGGCTCAGTTAGGGTCAAATATATCTATACGTTCAAACAAATCTACATATACATTGTACACTGTACATGTACCTCATTACTATGGAAATGCGTGTTCCTGTCAGAACGTCGTTACAGTGCGATTCGAGAAAACGAAAGACATTTCAAAACGTAAGATGTGAACAACCTAACCTATCTTAATGAACTAACTTATTTAAAGACGTACACGATTAAAGACCAAATCCGACCAAATCAGATTTCGGTGAAGTGGTTCTATTCAAAAGCTGTTTAGAGGTCAACTAAGGAAAACAACTTCTTTTCAAAGTAGGAGATATTTTTTTGCAAAAATATACGGCTCAGCATACGGGCAAGCAACTTTGAAGCAGGTTCCATTTTAGACTTGAGATCTCGTTGTGCTCTGTTATATACATGTACAAGTGATATCAGAACATATTTGCTTGTTATGTCGATGAGCAAAGGACTTGATCACAAGTCTAGGTGGCATATCGAACTGTTTGGTAAACGAGCGGTGAGAACACACATAACGGGATGGATCGATAGTGTCTTTATGAAGGACTTACGGCAATCTTCGGCAGTGTATTGTGCACATATTCTGCTTTTATGGTACGCTTACTGCAACAACAGGCTTCATTCTATAGGCCTGCTGGTTAAACCTTGGAACAAAAAGCGTTATAAAACAGTGGTAGCACATCTTCTGGGGAATTTTAGGGACCTGGGTAGAGAACTAGGGCCCAGCTAGTACGGAAACTGCAGACCACAGCCATATCTGCGGCAGTCTCATACTGCGGTTTGACAAGCAAAATCGTGTCATCACCTCAACTTAACTGACTTAGACCAGTCAAGACGATTTACACTTTATTTAGAAACAGGCTTTCTAAGCTATCACCCCGCCATAAGGGGATCGAGTTTTCTTTCGAGTTGACCGTTGAGATATACGCATCGAATCGGCGAGGTGAAAGAAACATTTATCACTTGCAAAGCCACCTCCTACAAGACGTTGTTACTAAATTTTGAAGTCGTCAACTTTCCTGACTAGGATTCAGCGCATCAATAGGCGCAAGGCCTTGCAAGGCGACTATTGTGACCCTCGGCTTAATTGTTATTGTGAGGATAGGGCCTACATGTAAACGTTTCGAAGAAATGTCGAGAGGAAATAGCTAGCTAAGCTTGGAGGAGAGACCCTCAGTAAACCAGATCTGCTCAGAACAAGCTTTTCCTCCCGGAGAGTTTCATAGCAAGGTAATATTTCACATCAAAGTGGGCCCTATAGGCCTATGTACAAGGACTTTCACTGTGCAACACGCCTTGGACAAGTTAATGCAACCATGGAGGAATAAAACACATGATGCAACACTGTTCGCATTTGGGGCCCATAAATTGTCAAATGTCAGAGAAAGGCGTGTTGGCTACAGCCGGCTAGGCTAGATCCCTCATGCCCCAAGGAGAGAAACTTGTCCCGAAACCGAAAGGTCACATCCCCATAAGGCACATAGCACGTAGTGTCAAGATAATGGCTTTTGACAAAAAATATTGATTTGCAACAATAAGTTTGTATTTTGTCCTTGCACTAAACCAGCATCAGAAATATTTTCTACCTATGAATAAGAATTATGATCAGTGTCCTTGCGAGTATGAGACCTCAATACCTGCACGTGCAGAGAAAGGCTAGAAAACATCCCTTGCTCGTCCTCGATCCTATGTCGATTGGGGTTGTTGACACATCGTCTCCCATTTAAATGCCACCTATTGTGTGTGACTGTGGGAACCATTGATGTTGATGACGTCAACCGGATAATGATGCACATCATTTGACAAGGGATACTTAAAAGGTCCACCTGTTGAGAATAGACTTAATGCTCAGGGTTGTCAAAGACCATCTACGACCACCAAGACTATACCCTTCAAGATGCTTGATTGCACAGACATGGAGCTTTTCTTTCCTTCACACAGTTTTCCAGGGGTTCATCCTGCACGCAGGGGTGGGCTCTGACCGTGCACTCGCACACGAATCGAACATGTGATCGTGCTCAAGGCATCGCACTTTCGGGGAGCAGCATGTGTTGTATATGCAACTTCACCATTCACAGAGAAAAATGCGCCATCCTACGAGGGTTGTATTTTGTTGATAACAATGAGAAGTTTGACAAAACCAAATCTGGCATCTCAGTTACCAAGGAGATGCATGGTGATTCTTACTTTACAGGGCCCAACGACAAATCCTCCTCGAGACAAACAGAATGGGCATGAGGCCTGTTTTGTAGTCCGATAACGACAACTTGCCGAGTAACCTGGACGTGAAGAAATAACTCAAGGAAATGCAGAAACACCAATTTGGAGGATTAATGGCTTGTTTTTTGTTGCTACGTCTACTGCAATCTAAACGAGTGGCAACGACAGTTTCAGGAGTGAACATTTTACATTAACTCGAGCAATACGGGTGTTTCACAGAAGGGCACCTCCAAGAGTTTGCAACGCGTTGACCAATCACTTTGCGCGAAATCTTTCGACCCAATGCGCGTTTGGAAAGGGTCGACAGATTTTGCGCTCTGTGATTGGTCAACGCGTTGCGATCTCTTGGAGGCGTACTATGTTGTGCATGCGCTTAACATTTTGTATGTGTGTCCTGTTGAAATAAATTTATGCAATGAAATATCATTATTCAGATCATACTGAGCGTTGCTAGCTAAAGATCTCGACTCTCGTGAAGTTGTGGTCTTTCAGAACACCCACCAAGTCCAAGACACTGCAATAACCATGGCATCTTATTAGAAATTAACTTGACAACATGGAATAATGAAATGAAAAATAATCACAACCCAACAATGCCTTCTTCAGAGTGTCTTTCTGCAGGAATAGAACCTGTAACAAGCACATCACTGCAACACACATTTGATCCAGAGATTAGGTAATGACTCGCCTGACTGAACATTTCATAAGAGAGATGGAGAATTGTGAGGATTTATGCTGGTGTAACTAACTGAAACTTGGTCCCAAGCTCCTTTTGCCCCATTGTCCAAAAAGAATGATTAGTCGGCCATCCATGACCGTGTATAAATAAATAACATATCATTGGAAAGAGAAGATAGGTGGCTTTAAGGTGCTACTACTCACTTTGGTGTAAAGCTAACACAATTTTCACAAACTTGAACAGATATCTTGTTGCCTTTTTTATACACAATGTATAAACGGGTCAAATCCACGCCTACAAAACGAGAAAATGTTCCATGATAAATCTATCAAAACTGATTATTTAGTTGGTAGGTATGAGTTCTTGAATAAATGAAGTATAAACATCGACAATGACTCTGGGCTGTTGCCCACTCGGTAGTGCCGTGACTGAAATTTTAATCTGCAATATTACAACGAGTTTGTTCAAGTAATCTTGTATTTGGTCTATCCATTTTTCACACATTGCATGACTCATTATCTTGTTATTCAGGTCGACTTAAATCCAGAGATAACGACTCCCATGAAGTTTGAACTGGCATAGTTGTTCCCTCGGCCCATGCAAACAATGCACACGGTTGTTCAAATGGATTTTAGACTTGAATGTTTCATTTCTAATGGGCTTTTTATGTCCTTCTGTGTTTTTACGAAAAAGACGCAAAAACACAGCGATTTGCTTGGAAACTGCAAGCTGAGTAACACTTCCAGATACGCCTGCAATTTCGTTATATTCACGAAATATACCCAAGACGACGGGTTAATTTCGTTATATTCACCATGAAATATACCAAAGACGACGGGTTGTATTGATAGTTATGAAATTATTAAACCTCCGAGATTAACAGCAAAGTTCAAACTACCAAACATAAAGACTTTTGGGATTAACACTATTCATAATGTTTTCGAATTTAGTGTGGGGTGTGTTTGCACATTTCGGCACTGGACAATCTTTTGGGCTAGGCTACAGAATGGAATCCCGTCTGTTCCGTCGTTATTTTGCCAACATTAGTGGAAGTCACCATTAGCCATTTAGTTGATACGTTTTTGTTTCTTTCTTTGCTTGTTAGCTGTCGTGTTAGTTTGTATTAAAGTGAAGCTCGTGAAGGCTCGTAGATTACGTCTTTTATTTGAAAACGATTCTTGACGCAAAAGTTTAAAACAATAGCTGGTAACGAACTACGAGCCTTTTTAAATAAAAATTACTTTGCGTGCGGACTGACTGTAATTTGACATCCCACAGTGTGTATTTTCATGCCCCTCACAACGTAGACCAGAAATACGTAAAATTTGTTATTTTGTTCGACGCGAATCGTACCATCTAGTTTTTTCTTATACATCATCGCGCAAGTTATTTTGTCATAACTTGTTTTCCCAGAGCTTAGTCTTACGCTCTGGAGAAAGCACCTCACGCATAAGACTCATGAGCCTTGCCCTTCAGCGCAGGTTTGAGTTCCCAATAAGTCGGAACTGGATAAACAAAATTCCTTCGACTTCGAGGGAGACCACAGCCATTTTTGTTTGATCAGAGGTGAACATCGACTCGCACTGCGCGGTATTTGAACAGTCGCGGTGGCACACAATGCACGTCAACGGCATTGCATGCAGTATCGTTCTGATACCAGAGTACACATGCACAAGGGAAAAAAAATGGAAATGGTTGTGTTACAACCCAGCATGGGCATAAATCCAGGGGGGGGGTATATACCCCCCACACTTTTTTGAGGTTGGGCGATGGTCTATACACCCACACACTTTTTTTGTGATGAGCACATACAATTAAGCTGATTATGAAGAACTTTTAGGATTTCCCACAGACTATAGGGTTTGCAATATCACTAAAAGGAGACAAAATCTTTAAAAGCCATAAATATACCATTCTGATACAAGATTCTGCATAAATTTGATACACATTACAGATGTACATCATTATCATGAACATCGCCCTCTATATAGTGTATATGGTGTAGCCCCCCCCCTCGCTTTTTCAAATTTCCATGGCCAGGCAAATCATCCCCTCACCATTTCTCCATCCCCCAATTTCCAGTACTGATTTATGCCACTGCAACCCAGTTATGACTACGGTCCCAACTGTGGTTGAGACGATTCAATAGTGGTCCGCAGCCGGTCCAACTGCAGCACTATATTTTGGGGTCGTCAAACCGCAGTTTGGGATCGTCCCAGTTATACTTGTTGAGACCTACACTGGCGCAACAATAGCAAGTAATTCTCATCATTCTAAGTCACCTTTTCCTTTGATCATAGATTTATCAACTTAGGTCTGATTTCGTGTAAATTCATTCAAGAATTAAATGCCATAAAAACAATTGACAGTGCATGGAACAAAAAATCCACGCACACATGTAATTCTTAGTAATTGCATGCAGTATCGTACTGATACCAGAGTACACATGCACAAGGGGAAAAAATGGAAATGGTTGTGTTACAAACCCTAAGAATGCAACTCTCCACTGCTACTTTACTCAGAGGATTAAATTCTTGCTCATTAATCGACATGGTAATGTTGTCATTTTTACAGTTTGCGAAGTTCGGCCGCGAATTATAGTTCAACGAGTAGTCAATTGCTTTTTAACAATACGCATGCGCAATTCACTTACACTCGAACGACCCCAGTTGGCCTATTTGAAAAGTCTCATCGTTGCTTACATTTCACTGTTGGCTGCGATTGTCGCAGCGTATACGTGTTAATTGAAACCTCGTACAATTATTTTCATGTGAGTGGTTCCCTCCGTAATGATAAGTGAAATCGGTTATTGATAACCATCGGTGCGACCATGCCCTAAACCTGGTCCTAAATTGTCGACTAGATAGGCCAGACCATCCATCTTTCTGGCGGTGTTAGTCGAACCATGGTTAGCAGTAGTCGTCGCTCAAACTGATGAAAAAATCCTCATAAACTTCACTGCCTTGCTAAACGGGAGTGAGACTTAAGGTTTAAATTATTCACGGATATCAGAATTAAAAACAACCATTCTGAAAAGGATTAAGAAGCCCCTTAGTAGTTAAAAAGTTTCCCTGTGCCTTCAATAAATAACGTTGTTATTGACGTTACTCTTAGTTACAGATTGCTTATATAAGTGTAAAATACATTTTGTTGCATTTGAATTTGAATGTATCAGTAAAAAAAACCCAGATTTTTGCTTTTAAATATTAAACGTAAACACTTTTTTTTAATGTAAACGCATTTTATGCATTATATTATTTTATAGCTGTCCTGTTAATGTATTAATATGAGTGTCGATCTTAATGATAAATATTACAATATTGGAATTTCAGGCTAATCATGGTGAAAGACAGCAACAGGTGGAAAGGCTTGCGGAAGCACCCTGCAAGGAACGTATCTCTTACATGTATATGTAAGTGTGGTTCTGATAAGAACCGGGAGTATACTCAACATCGTCTGCTGGCGACGGACTGAGCACGCAGTCCAAAACGTTGAGTATACTCCCGTTCTTTTCAGAACCACGCTTACTAATAAGAGGTATATTCCTTCGAATGGTGCTACCGAAAGCCTTTCCACCTATTATTGCAATATTATTGATCTTGTAAAGCTCCTTATAGCCCATTGGGAATAGGGTGCTATACATGGCACCGTAGCACCATACCTAGCAGTAGAGTATAACAATAATAACAATAAATAAATTATTGACATATTTCAATAGACTCACCTGTAAAGTTTAGCGGGGTGTGTTGGTTTCAGATTGGGGAATCGATCCTGGGGGCGTTTCCGGCTCCTGCGGGCGAGGGGTAACAACTGGGCTACGAGAAGGGAGACCGTTTGGGGTACGAGGGGTACCGTTGTTGCGGCTGACTTTCAGCTCCCTGCTTGTGAGTGAGAGTTGAAAACTGGACGAAGAACTCGGCGAGCGCACACGGTCAGGGTCCGAGGACTTTCGTGGGGGCTCCGGGCTGTCTCCGTGATCAACGGCCGCGCGGATGTCCCAGCTCCCGCCCGTGTCCTCATCGCTGCTTTGCGGCACGGGAGTCAGGGGCGGCGGGTAGCGGGACTTGGTGGGGTCGTACTTGATCCGGGGATCCGCATGAAAGCCCTGTGGGAAATCCTCCGCCTTGTCCACATCGTTCTCCCGCTGCTTGTTCCCGATCTGCAGGCGCAGCCCCCCGGACGTGGCGAACAGGATTGGGACGTGGAAGGAGCGGCCTTGGGTTGACGATCGGCCGCTGCCGGAGGCCTCGCTCGCCCAGGAAGTGCGTACTCCAGGCTGGGCCAATATCTCTTGCCGGCCCGAGTCTACCATATTGCTCTTGTGACAGGCACAAACACTGGATAACTCCTCTCTCACTTCCGGAAAGCCTATCAAAACCACGAGAGGCACGATCCACGCGTAACAGAACCGCATCCACGTAAAGACAGTCTGGACCGGCGTGGAGAACACATTGTCCATGGAGTTGGGGTACTCCGAGTTGCTGTACAAGTAAACGGTTTGTAGGGCAAGATAGGGGCCTTCGAAGAGGCACCACAGAATTACCAGTGTCCCTACGGTCTTCGCTTGTCTGAGTTCGCGCCACAACTTGGACCGGCGGCCCAACCTGTTGGCGTAGCTCACCTCGGCGTTGAAGTTCTGCACGGTGGGCTTTTCATCCACAGCCACCTTGATGATGACAATATACATGGAGACAATGATAATGAACGGGAAAATGTAGCAAAACAACGAGAAAAACACCAGGTACACGTATCCGGTCCGCGAGGACACAGAGCAGAGGTAACAGTCCGGCAGATAGTCTGCTTGGATTACCCCGGCCACGATGACCAGAGTAAATGCTGTCCCGTGCACCCAGGCGTACCCTGTGATAAGACTAGCTTTAACCCGGTTCATTTTGCTGGAAACGTTGGGCCAGCGCACCGCCAGCAGCCGGTCGAGACTCAGCAAGGCCAAGGCCATCATGGTCTCTACGTTAATCAAACTCAGGACAAANCCTCTTGCTATATCTGCCCTTTTAAATTTCCTCTGTCCAAGGCAACAGAAAAATCATGATAACCTTGCGTTACGTTTACTTAATGCACTTTCTTATGAGAGCTCAGGAAAATCGCGTCCCACCTCACCGCCAAAGGAAAGCGTTTAATGTGCACAAGAAGTGACGTCATTATTTGGTCAATCCATTTTCCACACATTGCTTGCCTCATTATCTTGTCATTCAGGTCAAATTAAATCCACAGATAACGACTTCCATGAAGTTTGAACTGGCATACTTGTTCCCTTGGCCCATGCAAAGAATGCACACGGTTGTTCAAATGGATTTTGGACTTGAATGTTTCATTTCTAATGGGCTATTTATGTCCTTCTGTATTTTTACGAAAAAGACGCAAAAACACAGCGATTTCCTTGGAAACTGCAAGCAAAGTAACACTTCCAGATACGCCTGCAATTTCGTTATATTCACCATGAAATATACCCAAGACGACGGGTTAATTTCGTTATATTCACCATGAAATATACCAAAGACGACGGGTTGTATTGATAGTTATGAAATTATTAAACCTCCGAGATTAACAGCAAAGTTCAAACTACCAAACATAAAGACTTTTGGGATTAACACTATTCATAATGTTTTCGAATTTAGTATGGGGTGTGTTTGCACATTTCGGCACTGGACAATCTTTTGGGCTAGGCTACAGAATGGAATCCCGTCTGTTCCGTCGTACTGATTTATGCCACTGCAACCCAGTTATGACTACGGTCCCAACTGTGGTTCAGACGATTCAATAGTGGTCCACAGACGGTCCAACTGCAGCACTATATTTTGGGCTTGTCAAACCGCAGTTTGGGATCGTCCCAGTTATACTTGTTGAGACCTAAACTGGCGCAACAATAGCATGTAATTCTCATCATTCTAAGTCACCTTTTCCTTTGATCATAGATTTATCAACTTAGGTCTGATTTCGTGTTAATCCACTCTAGAATTAAATGCAATAAAAACAATTGACAGTGCATGGGACAAAAATCCATGCACACGTGTAATTCTTAGTAATTCCCTATGAATGCAACTCTCCACTGTAACTTTACTCAGAGGATTAAATTCTTGCTCATTAATTGATATGGTAATGTTGTCATTTTTACAGTTTGCGCAAGTTCGGCCGCAAATTATAGTTCAACGAGTAGTCAATTGCTTTTTAACAATACGCATGCGCAATTCACTTACACTCGAACGACCCCAGTTGGCCTATTTGAAAAGTCCCATCGTTGCTTACATTTCACTGTTGGTTGCGATTGTCGCAGCGTGTTAATTGAAACCTCGTACAATTATTTTCATGTGAGTGGTTCCCTCCGTAATGATAAGTGAAATCGGTTATTGATAAACATCGGTGCGACCATGCCCTGAACCTGGTCCCAATGGTCGACTAGATAGGCCAGACCATCCATCTTTCTGGCGGTGTTAGTCGAACCATGGTTAGCAGTAGTCGTCGCACAAACTGATGAAAAAATCCTGATAAACTTCACTGCCTTGCTAAACGGGAGTGAGACTTAAGGTTTAAATTATTCACGGATATAAGAATTAAAAGCAACCATTCTGAAAAGGATTAAGAAGCCCCTTGGTAGTTGACGAGTTTCCCTGTGCCTTCAATAAATAAGGTTGTTATTGACGTTATTCTTAGTTACAGATTGCTTATATAAGTGTAAAATAACTTTTGTTGCATTTGAATTTGAATGTATCAGTAAATAAAATACAGATTTTTGCTTTTAAATATTAAACGTAAACGTATTTTAATGTAAACGCATTTTACGCATTATATTATTTAATAGCTGTACTCTTAATGTATTAATATGAGTGTCGTTCTTATTGATAAATATTACAACATTGGAATTTCAGGCTAATCATGGTGAAAGACAGCAACAGGTGGAAATGCTTGCGGAAGCACCATGCGAAGGAACGTATCTCTTATGTGTACGTGTGGTTCTGATAAGAACCGGGAGTATACTCGACGTCGTCTGCTGACGACGGACTGAGCACGCAGTCCAAAACGTTGAGTATACTCCCGGTTCTTTTCAGAACCACGCTTACTCATAAGAGATATATTCCTTTGCATGGTGCTACCGAAAGCCTTTCCATCGATTAATACAATTTTATTGACATTGTAAAGCTCCTTATAGCCCATTGGGATTAGGGTGCTATACATAGCACCGTACCTAGCAGTAGAGTATAACAATAATAATAAAAAATAAATTATTGACGAATTTCAATAGACTTACCTGTAAAGTTTAGCGGGGTGTGTTGGTTTCAGATTGGGGAATCGATCCTGGGGGCGTTTCCGGCTCCTGCTGGCGAGGGGTAACAACTGGGCTACGAGAAGGGACACCGTTTGGGGTACGAGGGGTACCGTTGTTGCGGCTGACTTTCAGCTCCCTGCTTGTGAGTGAGAGTTGAAAACTGGACGAAGAACTCGGCGAGCGCACACGGTCAGGGTCCGAGGACTTTCGTGGGGGCTCGAGACTCAGCAAGGCCAAGTCCATCATGTTCTCTACGTTAATCAAATTCAGGACGAAGGCACTGAGCTGGCACATGAATTCGCCGTAGGGCCAACCTCCACTGGCGGCAGCCCCCAGCACGAGGGGCATGGTGAGCACGCCGTCGCAGAGCTGGACAGCGCAGATGTTGCTCAGGAAGGTGTACAACACGGAGGTCTTCTCCAGGTTTTTGCGGGCGAGAGCGATCAGGCAACACAAGTTGCCGGCCAGCGCCATGAGGGCGAACAGCGACATGAAGAAAGCCGCGACCACCGCCACCGTCGAGTCTACTGCCGGTGTGGTCGTTGCACCTCCCGTAATCTCGGATGCGGATGGCACAGTACTGGTCACATCATCGAACACTGTTGCCATCGATGAAAAATTTACTGGTGTTCCCGTCACATCAACGGCATCGTCAGTCGCTGAAGTGTCACCGGTGGAAAAAACCCACCCGGTTGTTAGGTCCGTACCGGTAACCCCCCGGCCGGTTGTGGTTCTCGAAAGGTCTGTCAACAAACCTGTTGAGATGGCTGTGGTTCTTTCATTCGCTGCCATTATTCCTGGATCTGTCATTTTTACCAACTAATTCCCACAACACTATCAACATTAATTATTCGCGCACCTGGTGAAGTCTCCGTCGTTTGTGGTTGATCGAGCAAACACGAATAGCCACCATTTCCTGCACCTGGCGGTGTCAGTGGTATACCTTGCCTAGAAATGCCGCGAAACGCCACGACAAAATCGCGGCGTTATGTCCCGATCTCTCACCTCATGCTGCCGGTTGTGTCAGTCCACCTTTCAACGATCCATGCTGTCCACAATAACGAGAGAAAATGTCGGTTTTTACTGCAATTGAGTCCTTGTTTGGCAATCGAAATTAAAATTCTATTTGCATGCAGGTAGGCCTACTGTCTATTGACGACAACAATCCCGACAATGCATCGTCATGCGCACAGAGGATCCATTATACAACGTACGTGTAGACTATACGCCGTACCTGCCGGGTCGGAATTTGACCAGCGGCGCATGACAGGTTCACCGTAAGCTGTTCGGCGGCTGTTTGGTGTTTCACTCTCTATAGTGATGTTATCCGAGACGCACTAATTTGAGAATTGGGCATATACATGTGATTTGTATCGATAGTTTACATCAACAAGAAAACTGTAACGTATACGTTTAGGCGTACGTCCATAATTTAGAGGCACGGGCAATGCCAAGTCAAGTTTAGGCATGACCCGATATGAAAGAGGGCGCCCTTAAGATTGTTGAGAGCGTTGCCTTAGGATAACCGTACTGAGAAAAGAAGAAAGTGTTAGCTTGCAGGAACCAACTATTTGGCGTCGTTACAACTGTCTTGGTGATCAAAGCTGTATATAGAAAAAGTAACGCCAACTTCAGACTTCTGAACCAAAATGGCTGTTCATCATGTGCCCATTGCAGCATGCAGATATTGCGAATCGTTCATGTGCACTGATGCATAATCCGCCATGTTGAAATTGGTTCCGACAATTGAGGAATTCATGTCGCAACTCTGTCGGGTTGCAAACGGAGCTGTAATAGAAAGAGCAGCGCTAACTTCAGACTGCTGAACCAAAAATGGGTGTTCATTATTTGTCTTTTACAGCAGCACGCAGATATTGTGTGCGAATTGTCCATGTTCATTGATGCATAATCCACCATTTTGGTTCCTACAGTATAGACTCTCAAGTCGCAAACCTCTCTTGCTGTAACCTAAGAACCCTACCCCCATTGGCCGACGCTTGCCACTGTAGTTTCTCTCTTGCAACCAAACTGTTGTTTTTTTAATATAAAATTTGTATAAGGCCTTAAGTCATGTCCTCGCTGTGTTTTAACTTGACCACAGTCCATGCATGCCGTTTGACTTGTCAAAAACTAAGTCTGCATTAAACGTAAGAACGTTGATAACCTTGAAGGATTTTAACTAAAAGTAGGCAGTTTATTTTAAAGAATTAAAATGGCAGTGAATCGACCGAGGGTGCATAACGTCTCAATGTTTAGAAAGAGAACAAAAATCATTGAGTGCTTTATGAAGTGATGTCCTACATTTTGGGACAATTAATGTTAAGGTTGTGGCGGGCAGTTTCTGGATCTTTTATTTGGCCAGGAGCCTTAACAGGATTGAGAAGTACATTGCATTTAATTGCAGAAGGGAGAATATCAGCAAGGAAGGAAGAAAAAGTTGAGTCTGTCCGCATTTTTTTTGGTATTATATAATACACTCAGAACGAAAATGCAAACCGAGTAAGTTAATTTTCTCTCATTACCTTGCTTCGAGCTCTCCAGTTACAAACAATTAGAAACGGTGGTTCACATTTCAAAGTAAGAAATGCTTATATACGTCTTCATTTCCCTGATGTATCAACAGGCGTGAATTCAGAGGAGATGGGGGGTCACTTGCACCCTAATGTCATTTTTAGGGGCCTACGTCTAAAGGTTCCTCACAAATGCACGTTGCAGCGACCTATCCTGCTTTTGGTTGGGGGGGGCGCAAATTGCAAGCAAATGCTTTTTCGGATTTATTCAACAAAATGTTGAGGGAGAAAGAAATCAAAAGCCCTACGGTGCCAACAACCTTGCTTTTATTTCATGGTGTTGTTTTCTTTGGGTTTTGGTGCTGAGATTTGATAAATAAATATACCGATTACTTTCTTACATAACATGAGGTATTTTTCAGGAAGAAAATCCTTGGGGGGGGGTCAAAACAACACGTGCCTCGTTCTGACATGGTGACTGCGCAGTGCGCAGATAATGCTAGCTAGTATCGGCAGCACTTCCGGTCACATCATGAAGCAAACTGCAAAAGAACATTTATAGAGAAACGATGGCTCAGCACATCATAGAAACCTTGTGTCTCCCCCTCAGATGCCGATGCTGCAGGCCCTATACCTTCCCCCGTGAAATCCTAGTTACGCCACTGGTTGAAATTACCTCAGAATCAGACTAAAAGAACTTAATTAGAAGTCAAAGAATGGAAACTTGGTTTATTCAGAGGGAGGAATTATACGTTAATCATCCTAATTGTTGTTCCAAGTCCCAGGCAATGGAATGAATGTTTGTTATTTATGTAACAGGATCCTCCCCAGGTTTCTTGCCCGTCTGAAATACATGTACATGTATTAGCATTTTAAAATTCGCTCCCAACTTGTGTGTAAAGGGGCTCATTCCTTAGAGTTACCGCGATCGTGCATCTATGTTACGATTTGACTGGACTCATGGAACTGCGTGATGCTCTTCTCATTACAAGAAGTCTGTATTGCTGGAAAGAAAGGTGACCTGGAACACACGGCAATCTTTTATCATGCCTCTCAAGGTTTATTTGTACATTGAAGTTCGCTTAGTGAAATACAGAGTTTCACACCACTTTCCACATTCAGTGCAAAAGATTGTGAAAATGGTCACAATATCGCCACCGTGTCGGAACCTCTAGTAATCTCAACTTTTCGTTCTCTTAGCATTTTTTTCTCTTTAACTACTTTTAGTTCTAAGAAGTACTTAAGTGCATAATGCATGTTTCATATGCTGGTTCCCAAATATGGGAATATATAGTGTGATTGGCCGATCTCAAACTGGCCAGTTTTAAACGTTAGTTTAAGATCAGATAGGCACATTTTTATTCCAATTAATAAATACTTTTTTTAGTCATAGAGTCAAAAGAAGTCAACGTAATGATCGACTTTGCTCTGGAATTCTTTTACTTGTGCGGTTATGAGTTGTCCAACAGAATCTCCTTGGCGTGCATGGTGAGCCACGTGAACACAGACTCCTGACCAATCAGAATTGATTAAATGTCTCGCATCCAGGTGCCAGCACGTGATTTACACAGCGGGCAGAGACCCGGGCTTCCACTAACAAAATTTTAATTTATGAGCGCAAGCGCATAAATGGCATGTGGAGGCTAAGAGCTTGAGCGGACCATTGAAAATGTCAGGGCACAAGTTTCAACGTCATTTCTCTCAGCTTCTGCACTTTTTTAACTTTCGTCTTCAGAAGACCCTCTAAAATTATTATAGCTATTTCTTCCAGGTCTAAGGGGATTTGGCCCTGCACTAAATATAAAAAAAGTCTTTGCTTTCTCCCCGAGCGCACGAAGTGAAAAGAAATAACCAGGAAATTTTTGACCATGTGCAATTAAATAGTTATGTACTTCAGGATACCATGCATCACTCGCACGAAGCTGAATCGTGGGCTGTACGCAGGGAGAATTGCGGCTAGCTTCAGACTGGTTTAGGTTTCGTTCACCGCTTACGTCGTCGACCGGGAATAGTGGATGGTATCTCAACGTATTGCACAATTTGTTTTATAGCTCACACAGAACGGAACCCTACTGATTTCTTTCGCCCTCGTGCGCTTCAAAGGAACGGAATTTTTTCAAGTTTTTATTTTGCTCGCCAAAAATTTCTCTCACACCAGAAAAGGAATGGCTATAATGATGTCAGAGGGTTTCCCAAAGACGAAAGTGGAAAAATGCAGAAGCTGAGAGAAAATGACAAAATTTGTGCCCCTGTACATTTTCAATGAGCCGCTCCAGCTTTTTGCCTCCACATGCCATTTATGTGCATGCGCACACAAAGTAGAATTTATTAGTGGAAGGGTCTATTAATTTATCATTCAATGAGAGAATGTAATGCAGGCCTTATGACAGAAATACCAATAAAATTCCAGGTAGTCGTAAACGTTTGCAAATGACTGTATACATAAATACCTCAGACAGTCTCCCTATACAACAAATTGCAGCTTGACCGTGTATTAACATTTTATAATGCCCGCTGAGAAGTGTTAACATAATTTTACAGTGGTGCATAATCGGTGTAGTGCTATATACCCATTTAAATGAAATGTTTTGCAAAGACTGGTCTTGTATAATTTTTTTTTTCTGTAAGGCAGCATGGGCAAAAAAAAAGCCAGTCTAAGTAATCAGAATTAAAGGAGGGCACACTAAATATTAGACTGGTAACATTTCAATTCATGGAAATGTAGTCAAATAGCTAACCAAGATACTAAGATTACACATTGAAAATAAACAGAAGTTGCCATGATTGATTGGTTTAAGTTTGGTTTTTCTTCAGGTTAATGCATTTTGTTTGGGTGGTCCTAAACTTTTACAAATGACGGTATGTGATCACAGATTTACAAGTGCACGTTAAGTCATTGATTCAACTGCGGTTTACGAAAGAAGAAGTTGTTGTCTGGGTTTTAATAGCTTGTAACAATAAAACTAAAAGGTGAAACATCCTGGTTTAAACATTGATCACAGTATTATGATTTATAATAATTATACTGGCTTACTGAAAGCATGTTTACACTGCTTCCATTGAATTCGTTTGTTTTGAAGACAAGGCCGTGCCAGGAGGATCCTGCTCGCTGTGCACTTGGTTGCGTCGAAGTCGTTTCAACACAAGATCTTTCAGCTGATCTCGGAAATGTTTGTACACGAGGAACAACACTATGGGGTTTACGAACATGTTACAAGCGGTCAGCGTAGTGACGGCTAGGTACACTGACTGGGATGCGGCCCTGCCAGTACTATCGGATATGGTTATAATGATGTAGCCACACGCGGATGGTGTCCAGCAGACTACGAACAGGACGCTGGTCATCAACACAGTCATGAGTACGTTCTTCTTGGCCCGACTTCGACGGTCCTGTTCAGCGTTAGCCCGCGAGTGATGACCATGCCCCGTCTTGAGTTTGATGAAAATATGGCCGTACGCGAAAATCATGACACCTACAGGCACCAAGAATTGGTTCAGAACTGAAAACGAGCCCACGAGAGTACGCACAGCTCGCCCAAGGGCAACAGGCTGGCAGCGGCCTCCGGACGGTTTCATCTGGAATAGTGTAGGCAACGCAAAAGCAAAACCGAGGGCCCAGGAGGTACCGATGGCAATCTTCAGCTTCCGCGCGTTCAGCATGTTGCGGTGCTTGATCGGGTGGCAGGTCGCCAAGAATCGCTCCAGCGAGATGAAAACGAGGTTGTACGTGGACGCCACGTACGCCCACCACAGCAGGGTGTCTTTGTCAAAGCAACGACAGACTAGATGGTCGAGGAAATTATTTTCTTCTGAAACTTTGAGATTTGAGCTCTTGACTAATCGATGGAAAAAGAAGACCACGCCAGCAATTGCGTCGATGGTAGACTGGTGAAGGATGAGACGATTGGTGAAAGAACTAAATTCTTGACGTCTAGCTAGCATGACGATGATGACTGTGCCATTGCCAAGCAAAGTCAGGCAGACGGTGATCACGTTGAACGCGGTGGTCATCGTCCAAAACCAATCACCCGGAAGAAAGTTTTTTTGATCGTTGGCAGGAGTCATGTTTTTGATTCAGAACTACGCCCGTTTACACATTCAGAGCCCAGATGCCTTGAAACTGTGGCTTTACCTCGTCAGAGTGCAATTGTACTGCCAGGAAAATTGTAGAAGGCATTTATACTGGCCATCGAGATCACGGTATCTTTGGCCAAAGGAAGTCGCACCCGGTCACTAGCCCTTCCCTGGTTGGCTAAAATGTCATGTGGTTGCAAAGTGGGCGTGTAAGGCTGAAGCTGGCGTCTGATTTGTATTACCGTACCAAAGCGCATATACTTTTCATACCATTTTCGAGGTCTTTTCGTAGTACAAGAACATAGACTTTATACACAGACGTGTTTGGTTAAAGAGGTACTCAAAAGGCTTAAAATATTTCAACTTCTAGGGTTGGAAATAAATTGGCCACCTATTATATGCAATGAATTATACATAATGAGCGTTTTTGAAATCGACGAAAAAGGGTTTCGCTGGAGCCCACACTCACAGAATGAATGGTAAAAAAAATATTGGTAAAATGAAATTGGTAAAATACACAAAACTTAAGTAAAATTTGGCCAAAGTGAAATGCACATCTGTTCTGTAATTTCAAACTGACATGTTTTCAATGCGATTCTGTAATTTTACACAAGTTGTGTTATTACGGTCAAACTTTGACACTTACTCTGTGAAATTTACAAAGTACGACGTAAAAGTTGTCATCATTGTGTTAATATTGCCGACACAATGGGTACTTATCACCACGTTTTTCGATTCATGGCGGACATGTGTACGTAAAAACCAATTGACTTCAAGACGGAAAATATGAAGAAAGTTGTGTTAGCATGCAGTTTTGACCACCTTATACGAACATTTGATCTCAGGTAAGTTTGCAGAATTTTGAAAGTGACATTCTCGCTGTTGACACTGCGTGAGGTCTGTTACATGCACAGTTGCTTCGATGCATCTCTGCAGCAGATACACACTGTGTTGTGCTGGCGCTTGTCGTGGCAATTTGTTGTGGACAGAAAGCCTTCACTGCCGGAAATTGAACACTTATCATAATACATTTATTTCATTGGCTGAAGTCTAATGCGCATGTGTTCAGTTGACCTGAGTGTACTTGGTTCTATTTTTTGTTGGAACAGTTCGTCAAAGAAACAGACCTGGAGTAATCGGTTCTGAGCTAGAACCATAGCAGTCGGTAAATCCCTCAACGGTCTTCAAAGTAAAACGATTCAGTTCTGGTGAGGAGGCTATGCAACACTCATCACTTTAGCACTTCATGACTTTCCCAAGTTCTGTCCTACGTTAGTCGTCGCAATCGTGATACATGGAGACGGGAAGTCTTAAAGCCATGGAATCGGAGTTTTTAATCGTTTGCCCTTGAAAAAGTAAGTCCCCGTGTTAAAGGTCAAAAGGTCCAATTAAAGATTGGTTTAATAAAACTAATGTCTTAAAGCATGTCATACAAGAAACGTTTTGTTTTGTAAACCCCTAGCCTAGTTGTAGTGATTGCCTCAGTATCTTTAGACATGGAAATTCACATTTGATGTGTAAAACACTAAACACAAGCGCTAATCCTGAGTCTTCAGTGGCATCCTGTCTTAAATAAACTTTTAAACAGACTGAGACCACCATATTTTCACAGTTTCTAGAAGATTCTGCAACTTCCTTGAATGTCTGTTTTAGGCTAGAAAAGAAAAAGGGAAATTAAAAGTGAAAATAAGAGTTTCAAAGTAACATCTGTTATCAAAACTACTAAGACCATATTTAGTAAAGTAAATAGAGTAAAATAAAGTAAAATTTCCCCAAACTTTTCAGACAAAACTTACCCAACACTATTTTGTAAAAAAATTACCTAATTATCAGAGGGTTCGTATATGGCACATTGCAGTTTTATAAAATTTTACACGACCTTTGTATTTTTTCTGTGTTTGTATGTTTTTACATTTTTTTCAATCACGAATGGGAAAACTGTTCCATTTGTTCATGTTTATGTGGTCTTGTCACCTGTTGAAAAAAAGGTTATAAAGGGAAAGAAGAAATTCTGTCAGTGCCCCCTCACCAGGTAAGAAATGTCGAGTGTTTAGGTAAAGTACACCGTAAAATTAACACTGTTGAATGATTTTTCAGGAGTTTTGCAGGTAAATTTACAAGGTAAAGAGTCTTCATCCAGGTTGTCTCCAAGTCTTTCAGTGCCATTTACGTGCCAAAAGAGAGGCAGTGTTTTAGCTTCGTTCTTCTACAGTGAGCGTGTATACCGGGAAAGGAGCGTTTACGCCACTGCCCTAGACGCCAATCTATTGCTACAAATGATAGACTTTGTTCTTTTAAAACTCAAATAGACATAAGAATGGAGATGGATTTTGATAGAAGGGTCCACCGTATCTGTCATGAGAAAAATCAATCACAGACCAATGCAAATGTTTTGTACAGGGAGGTTTGTTTCATGAATGGTGCTTTTTGCATGTACATTGTAAATGAAGTAGAAGCTCGTGAACTGCTACAGAACTTTGACTTATCATGCACACCTGGAACACATTGAGTTTCATCACCTGTCTAGGGGCGGAATCGTCTGGTGAATAATCGCTTTGAGCTTTGCTTCAATTACGTTTCCTTTCTCCCGTGCTATAAAAACTCTGATTGATTCGAGTCAGAAGTAGCAGCGGGTACCGCCAAAACCTATTTCCAAGGATGGATTGGAGTATACGGTGTTATAATACACGTCAGGCAGAGCAAAAATCCAAAATCAATTAAAATGAACTCGTGCACTACGATCTTAACTCGTTTTAGTGGTCACTTGGGTAAGGCCCAGAGCTCGCGTAAAGCACTGAGCTAAAAGTCCTTTCAGTCCTCAACATAAGAACAGTGAAAGGCAGAATTTTGCACCCCGCTGACTCTCAACTCCATCCAAAAACCTCATCACGTTGTCACGATCACATAATAAAAATTGCATACCCCGCACCCTGCTGATGTAATCTGGTTTTCTTCTGGAACACTTGACGGTTTTTCGAATCGTTCACACCAAAATGGACTGCAGTGGCATTGAGTATATGGCAGTGGGGGGCTTATTGTCAGATGAACATTTTCTTCTGTGATCCTATTTCAAATCTAACTGGGAACAAAGGTTATCTCTGACGTACGCAGTTCCCTGGCCGGGTCGGTTGTAGGCTCACTGCAGGAAGTTGCCAATGACGTTTATCCCCACCCCTTGGATAAGGACTTAAATTAAGTGCCGCCTATTTCACTCAATAGTGAGTTTGTCGGGCAACTTCATTAAGGTTTAATTGTTTAGCTGAAAAAAGAAACGGTTTTCAAGACACATCAAAGACTCCAGTCTCGATTCCGTAACCCCGCCAAGTCCACGCACAGTCGCTTCGTGGGTGAGCATCTGAAAATGTCGTGGCAAGTGCTTTGTTTTACAGAAGCGTATAAAAGCCACTTGCAAAAAATTGATCGCTCTTCGTTCGGTGTAAAGGACTGAGCAAACTCTATGACTGTATCTTCTTCCAGGGGCATAAAATTGCAAGTTTTATACATGTCAATGGAATTGATGAGTCAATAGTCCTTGAAGCTGACAAAGAGACCACATTTGACTGTCTGACCCTTTTCACAGTCATAACCTCTTTTGATGTCGCAATTTCGATTAGTTAACAAGAAATCTGAGAGCTATCGACCTATTTACAGCTTTGGCCACAATTTTCCTTGAAACATCTTCGTGATTAAAAACGGACAAAGTCCAAATAAGCCGATTTGTACTCCCTTAGGCAACTTCCATTTTTTAAAAAAACGGGTTCAATTACACTACCGTCTGTAGGTAGCATGGTTTCAGTTACATGAACCATTTCGGTGTAATACCGTGCCCAAGAATTCGGCTGGGGTGGGATGGGGGAAACCAAATCCTTGATTCACCCATTCGTGGAAATCAGAAAAGGCAGAACCCCATTAACATCATCGCATGGCGGCGCTGTTCATAATTTTGTACAGTGTCGCACATCGGCAAATCCACTGGATTTTTAGCGCCCCCTAAGTTTTACTCATGTGACAGAGGGCGCTAGGCATAGGCGTGGTGCGAAGTTATAGATGGCGCTCTGTCCAGTAATAGAGGTAGATGTTGGGCGCGCTTAGCTGAGTGTTAAGCCAACGCGGCGCATAGGCTCCGCCTTGCGCGTAGGGCGGTTGGTTAACGGAAGTCACTGCTTGGTCCCATGTAGCGCGCACAGGCGTAGTCGCGGCAGCAGCTGGCTTGCTAGGCTATATAAGCACAACGGGAGTGCGTTACAGCGAACCTTACAATTGGTGCGATCCTGCTATAAAAACCCTGAACTGTGGTTTGAGCAGAGCGGGCATGTAGGTAAGACCCTCGTACGTTGGGTCGTTGACGTGGAAAGTTCCCAGTACCGAGTGGTGCGTGTGTCGTTGAGGGGCCTGGCGGGTTGAGGGGCTATCTGGTGGTGTGGTAAGAGTTCCTAGTGGGAGCTTACGGTCGATTAAAGGGTGGATCGGTATCTCGCATCGCGAGTTGTGAGTGGCGTATTGACCCTGAGATAGCCCTATTGACTTATTCAGGTCCCAGTGGCACTAGAAGCACATGAGTAATTGTAATTGTTGCTCCGGGCAAGATTGCTCCGGCTGAGTACGACGTTGAAACACCAGTATGAGTGGTAGCTCAAGTGAGGGGGACTGGCACAGGTCCCGAATGGAGGTTCAGTTGTTGCAGTGGGAAAAGGCTCAGCAATTGGACAGAATCATAAAGTTAGAAGCAGCACTGCGAGATGCTAAGGAAGCAGGATCGAGCCCGATTAGTGGACCTGGTCCACGTGATGTGCAGAAGTCATATGAGCACGTGAGAATTGATTCGGACGTTGTATTCCGGCTCCCTGGCCAAGATATGGCTGGAAACAGGGAGGAGACGTCAGGTTATGGGTCGTTCAGAGCTCCAGCGCTGACTGAGTTGAAGACGCCAGAAGTCC